GACTACGGCGATGAAGATCAGTGTTCGAACCCCGGTCGAGTCATTTTGTACTTTTTTTATCGTTTTAATGATGAATCAAATAAAAATAAACTATACTTAAGGCGGACGTTTTTTCAGGCACCCCTATTTAAAAAGTCCGTAAAAAACGAGTCCTACCCAAAATCAGTAATATTGAAAACAAAGCCTAACCCCCAGTGCCGAGGATAGACTACTTGTACCCTTTATTTTAGAGGAGGCAGGTAAGGGGGGAGAGCAGAAAATTTTGTTCTCTTTTGTTAATTTAAGGAGACCCACCCATTGGCCATTACACTGCTAAAACCTGTTTTTTGTCGACTCAAAAAATAAGTTGCCTTAAATTACGCCTTACTCAGGGCCAGTATATAAGGGGTGGCATGTGTGCATGGACGCCCACAGGATTTTTTGATGTTCTAGATAGGACACTTTCACACATTTGGCATAGGTATACTTAAGTTTGGAGTTTGCACAAGCTCCAAACATATGTATGCCATATGTATGTCAAATGTGTGAAATTCGTGCAAGCTCTAAAACTTAAGTATAACTATGGCTTGGTGATAAGAACAATTATGTCTTCTTCTTGCCCCTGCTATTTTTATTTATATTATGATTTACGACTGTAATAGATTTATATGACAAAAAAAAAATAATAATAAAAAAATAAAACTATGGGATGACGGAGGCCTGGGAACAAAAAAGCCCTAAAACCCTTGCCCCCTGCTCAAGCGTGAGGCACAAATGTAGTAAAATTTCAACTTATCCATCTAAAACTAAATTTAAATTTATTGACAGATTTTAAATTTCGTAGAAAAATATTGTAAATTTCAAAACCATTCAAAATTTACACCCCCTCATTTCGGAGAGGGAGGGGGATGCGTTTTAGGGCTTTTTTGCTCCCAGGCATTCGCCTTCTTAATTGTAAGGCCTCCTCATTAGGCAAAGGTATAAACATACTTAAGTTTGGAGTTTGCACAATGTGTAAAAGTGTCCTATCTGGAACATCAAAAAATCATGCGGCCCCTATGCATGTGTGTGCATTGAGGGAAACTATACCCTCTACTCCTTATACCAAACATCTTTTTATGTTGGCAAACTAGGATCTTTAGTCAGAATTTTTACTTTTCTATTGTATAGTTGGTTAATTGTGATAAATTAGAAAATCGATGTACGTCCTTTTAAATTGAACCCCCCCTCCCCTTATACGCTTTTGAAAGATTTTTGAAAACCTCCCCCCTCCCCCTATGATCATACATACTTTATGGACAACCCCTAATTGCACAAATTTAATTTTTGAATGAGTAAACTTTTGATCTTTACACAGGTGAGAAATTAACTATTTAGGTTTTACTTATAAAAAACTCATGTGATTTAAAATCTTAAATTAAAGACCTTTTAAGTTTGATTTTAAAACACCACAAATATTTTTATAAATTCATATTAAGAAATCTTTAGGTTACACAAAACTGTAAAATTTAAAATCCTGAGGGTTGCATATTTTTAGAAAAGACGCTTAAAGGGGTTGGACCTATGAAATTTTCATGTTCAAGTGAAGAAACTTCCAGAAATCCTGCAAACCTTAAATTTTTACATACTAATACTAATATCAAATAATAATGTTCTGGAAAAAAATAATAATTTTGGGAACATAGAAAATACAATGCTTTCGGGGCATCAACCCCAAATAAAGCAAACAAAAAAATTTGAAATATATATTTTTGCACAATCTTATAATAAATGAAACTTTATTCATATTTTATTTTATATTAATTTTATTTGTTTTATTTCCCCTCCAATTTCCAAAAAAAAATGATGTTTTAAATTTTACATGACCATAACTTCTAAAGTACATAAGATTTTTTTAAGAAACTTGAAATTTTATAATGAATTTTGATTTGGTTTAAAAAATTGCAAAAATATTTTTAAATGCACACATCCCCCTCTCAATAAGGGCAGGTGGCCTCAAATTTTAGGCTTTTCTTGTTTGCAGACTTTAATCACAGTTATTTTGTGGACACATCTGTCTTTTTATAACCATATGATACCATGTGATTATATGACTTAGTAGATTTTAGTCTTCAAAAAGCCTGAATATCATAAGCCCCTTTATTGTTTATAATTATTTTTTGTTTAGCTTCACTTTTTTGGACACATCTGTCTTTTTGACACAAGTATTTTTATACAAGAGTCTAGTTTATGGTATCTATGGTAACAAGAGTTTATGCAAGAGTTTATGGTATAAAATTAGCTGTTTTTCATTAATTAGAATTTATTAGTTGTTTATAGTTATTTAAAGGTAATGATAATTAATTAGAATTTATTAGTTGTTTATAGTTATTTAAAGGTAATGATAATTAATTAGAATTAAACAAAGTTTGCAATTGGTATTTACATTTATTTTATTAAAGTTTATTTATAAATTTACTCTTGATTCTTTAGTAACTATTAAAATTACAGATAGAGTTCACAATGCCTTATTTAAAATCGAAGAAAGGAAGGAGATTTAAGTTTAAAAGATCTCATAAGTTGAACAGACTTTTAGCCTGTGCTTGTTGCTTTACAAAAAAGACTAAGTGTATTCCAGTTACAGAAAATTTGGAAAAACTTGTTGTAAAGCATTGTCATGATGGCTATAGTATTAAGGTTATAAAGTATCCAGCTGGACTATGCCTTACATGTAAAAGAAATCTGTACCTGGTTAAAGCTGGAAAACCTATTTCAACATCAGGTAAACAGAAATGGAACAAAGAATTTTTAAGCGATTTATACTGCAGTAGAAACTGCAAAAAATTTGCATATTTGAAAACTAACATATTTGAAAACTACTAAAATCTTAGGTTCTATATACTTTTTCAAAATTAGTTTGAATTAAATTTATCAAATAATTCTTTAAATAAAAATAGACAAATAAAACAGAAAGAAAATAATTTAAGGAGAAGTTGGTGTTTGCAAAGGTTCAAATGATGCTTGCTTTAAAGTTTGTCAAAAATGTTTTCAAGTTACTGGTAAAGGTATACGCCATAAATGCTACACTGGAAAAGAATCAAAGAATCTGGCAACTTATCTATTAAATAAAGATTATTTATTAATAAAATTTATTAATAAAATAAAGTAAAATATTTATAAAATATATTTCTTTAAAAATTGATAATAATATTATTATTTAAAATCTGAATGTTTGTTATTATTATCTCATTTGTAAAACCAATTTTTCACTGTCCTATTGTTTAGATTTAAAGCCAAATAATAACAATATTCTGAAAGATATATACTCAAACAATGATATGGAAAAAGGTGAAGACATGCTGTTTTCCACTGATAAATTTTGCTTTCTTTGTATATATTTGTAAAATAGTGTGCTTTTCTAAACATTTTTGTCAACTATATAGGTGGTTCCAAATTCCTAAAACTCTAGGTCAAACTAGTATGAAACAGAAAAAAATACAGTTTTCAGAGTTTAACAAGTTAGCTGTTTGTTTGCAATTGACTCAGTTTAAATCAAATGTTCTCTTAAAGACCTTGAGGCAAAATGGAGTTAAATTTGAAAGTAATATGGAAAAGAAATTGGATGATAAAATAAAGATACTTAAGAACTTCTATGTTTTAGAAAATGTTTCTTTGGATGATAAAAAGAAAGGGATACTAAATCATGTAAAAAGAGATTTAGTTTATGTAAAAGATATTAAAGAATATCTTAAGTTTGTAATTGAGCACAGAAAGCAAGATGAATAATGAAAACTATAAATTTTGAGAAAAATGAGTAAATAAAAACATATAAGGTGGAGGTTCAATTAAAGTTATTGCAAATTTGTTCAACCCAAACCAACACAGAGTCGCTGATAGGAATAATATGGGAGCTTACTATGGAATAAATCACATTTGTAATTATATTATATCCCTCGCACAGTGAAAAAAGTAAACGAATTGCTGAAACTTTTCCTAGCATGAACATGGAGTTATTGAGCTATATTTTATTAAATTCTTTTTAGTGAAGCTAAACAAAAAATGTTTGTAAACAATAAAGGGGCTTATGATATTCAAGCACTTTGAAGACTAAAATCTTTTGTATACAAAGTCATATAATCACATGATATCATATGGTTATAAAAAGACAGATGTGTCCACAAAATAACTGTGATTAAAGTCTGCAAACAAGAAAACCCAAAAATTTGAGGCTACCTGCCCTAATTGAGAAGGGATGTGTGCATTTAAAAAAAATGTTTGCAATTTCTTAAACCAAATCAAATTTCATTATAAAATTTCAAGATTCTTAAAAAATCTTATGTACTGTAGAAGTTATGGTCATGTAAAATTTAAAACCTCTTTTTTTTTTGGAAAGGGGAGGGGGAATAAAACAAATAAAGTTAATATAACTTCATTTATTATAAGATTGTAAAAAAATATATATCTCAAATTCTTTTGTTTGCCTTATTTGGGGTCAGTGCCCTAAAAGTGTTGTATTTTCTGTTCCCAAAATTATTATTATTATTATTTTTGCAGAACATCATTATTTGATATTAGTATTAGTATGTAAAAATTTAAGGTTTGCAGCATTTCTGGACTTGAACATGAGAATTTCATAGGTCCACCCCATTTAAGTACCTTTTCTAAAATTGAGCAGCCTGCAGGATTTTAATTTTTACAGTTTTGTGTTAGCTAAAGGTTTCTTAAATTGAATCTATAAAATTATTTTGGGAGTTCCAAAATCAAACCTAAAAGGTCAATTTCTCACCTGTGGTTGGGGCACCATAGTGTTGTTTTAATTATATTATTTCAACTTTTATGAATAACTTTTTTAATATTTTTTGATGCACAAAAACCTTTTACTTTCGTTACTCCAATGAAAAAAAAAATTAAGTAAAAAAAAAAATTATTTTGATAAACAAAAATTTTAGTAAAATTCATACAAACAATGATTAATAGTAATAAAATATAATGATAATAAAAAAATTTATAAACATAAATATTTAAAATAATAGAAATCATACTTGCAAGCTCAGAATATCAGCATTAAACTGTAAAATTTCTTTTAAGATGGCACTCTTTCTGTAATCCCAGTTCAAAGCCCACTGTGGACAATATCCATAGAGTTGTCGGTTGGTGTGTTTATCACTCAGGACATTATATGACATTACTATAAAACTACCTGTCAAAAAGTCACATCAATCCTAGTGAGTCTATAAAGCTGTTACTTTTTGTAAATTTTTATTATCATAATAAAAATAATAAATATAAACATCAAAAACAGAGAATAAAATACCATTCTCAGTAGAAGCTGGTTCAATAGAAATCCATTGTCTTGCTGGTGGTCTTGGACAAACTAAATTGTTGCAAAATGTAAAAATTTATCTTTTTAACACTTCATATATCAAGTATGAATTAATAATAACAAAATTAACTTAATATATTAGCCTGCCTACTTTCCTGATAAGAAACCATTGAAAATGCATTAAACTATTAACATAAATTAGTTTCTGACAAATAAAAATTTTATAGCAAGCAATTTATTATAAAAATAATTCTATATTATATTGATACATAATTTCAAAGCATTTTTATTTTATAAAAACACACTTTAATTTACAAAACAATTAAATTATATGTAGTTAAAATGATATGCATATAGTTTTAAAATTAGTTAAAATTAAATATCACATTTAAATAAATTAATTATGAAATGCTAAAACAACAAGCATAAAACAAATTATGACAAATGTTATTTCTGACATTTTCTTCTGCTTGTCATTTTAAGTTTAAATGTTTTCAAAAAAAAATAAAAAAAGGGTGAGGGAAAATAAAAATAATTGTTCTAAAGAATAGAAAAGATAAAGTTAAAAAATAAAGTTTTTCTTAGATGTCAATGGGATGATGATGTCGACTATAAATGATTGATGGGGTAACACCTATATCAAATTATTTTTCATATAGTTGTCACTAGTGATTATCCAGGTCACATTTTAAAAATCCAGAAAATATTTTCCAAAAACAGCTACAAAAATCCAAACAATATTTTTAAGGAACAAATAATGCCTATTAACTAAATAATTAATAATAAATAATAATAACTAATAACTAAATATATCATTAAGTAATTGATGAACAAATAATTTTTTAATTATTTGATGACAAAGTTACAAAAAAAAACTTTAACTTGTATTTCCAAACTATTTGGATATCAGGAAAAATCAAAATTTTAAAAAAATATTTGCAATTCCGGAAAAAGATAATCCCTGGTTGTCACTCCATAGAATAGTTTTTAACTATATAAGTAAAACTGAACCTAATTTTGTAAAAATTTTAATTTATATATTTTTTAATTTACATATATAATTTATATATTACATAATATTTTTAATTTTCCAATTTTATGGATAATAAAAAAAAAAAATAAGATTATAAAAGTGATCAACAAAAAAAGTGAATCAGAAACAATAAACATAAAAGAAAGTAAGAACAAAATGACATATATGAAAGTGAATATTATTCTTTTATATTAATGTTGAACTTAATAGTAGTAGTAGTGTCCGTTTGAGCATGCCTGACACAGAACTCTTCGCATCCATTACAACCAAGGTTATGGCAAGAAAGAGTTGCAGCACTTATTTTATTAGAAAATGTGAACGAAAATGCTCGCAAATATCTTACTTATGTAAACTTCAAACAATGTAATGTTGAAACATTTATCAAGTTTTACAGTGTAATTTTAACTTGAAAAATGAAATGCAACAATATCTCCTTAATTTTGATTTATAACATTTATTTGCCATTTTATAAAGTCTTTTGTTTATTAAATAAAGATAAAACTTTTATTGCACAATACGCCTCACTATGGTCGTGAAGTGGAAATAGGATTTTACTTTTCTTAAAAAAAATTTTAATTATAATATTTTAAATATTTTTAACTGAAACGAGTTAGCATTAATTGATAAAAAAAATTTTGTTTTAAATTTTTTTAAATTTGCCTTTTTAAGTGCTGGATTTTCAGGAGTAAAAAAAAACAAATTTTCACTAAATCTTTATATTATAAACAATAACTTCCAAATTTCTTTACTTATTATGCATCAAATAAATGATACATTTTGTAAATTAAAAATCAAGAAAAGAAAAAAAAAATGTTTGGATCATTTTTTTTATGGGTTTGTGATAATTTGATTGATTAGACAATGTTACACAGTGAGTTTTAATATTTTTGAAGTCTGACTTTTTATTTAATAAAAATTTGTGGAAAATTAAAAAAGTTGTTTCTAACTAAATATAAAACATTTTTTGGTTAAAAATTGACAAAGTAAATATTTCTTGTGAGAATAATATGTTTATATATTAAGTTGTGTATATATATATATATATATATATATATATATATATATATATATATATATATAAAATACATAATTCATAACTTTTTAAATAACAATAACTAATATATAAAAGATTAGAAAAAGACATACACAATTTATTTTTACTATGTTTCACAAAAACCCTTCTAATATTGACATTTTTGTTGTGTTGTTTATGCTTCAATGCATTTTTTTAGATTAAATAAGTTGTTTGAGACTTACTCATTCATATGAATAGCATGACTACAAGACTGAATATATAGATTTTGAATCAGAAATCTGAATATCTATTTGCATTTATCACTAATACATAGATCATCCTCGTCATATTTTAAAAATCCAGAAAATTGTTTGAATAAATTATCCGGAAAAAATCTGGAGTTTTGTTTTCCTTTATTTTATTTTTAATTTCACTTTTAGCTAAATTGGTTTAGTTTTTTTTGTCTAATTTTCTTAATTTTTCTATGATTGATGAGTGAAAAAGCTTAAAAAACAAATATATTACAAAAATATATACCTCAACTTGCATGTATTGAAAATGTTTTGAATATCCGGAAAAACTACTAGTTGAAAAAATTATCTTGAATTCCGAAAATATCCCGAAGAAGATAATCCCTGCTAATAATGCATTTAAAAAAACCATACCTAGGTCACAATCTGTACATAAAATAATAACTCATGGTGCTTCTTTTACAAGGTATTTTAAATATCCTCCAGTAGATTCTTTATCTGAGAGCGCTATTAATATTTTTAACATCCTCCAGTGGTACAAATATTTTAAATATCCTCCAGTAGATTCTTTATCTGAGAGCACTATTGAATTTAGAAACAAGGAAAGCAAAACCGTACGAGTTAGTTATGCATGTCTAACTTTCTTGGCAGAAAACACTAAGGATACAGCTAATTATTTGTTGTAATTTGTTACACATTTTTGTAATTTTTTGTATAAAAATATCTGGATGCATACAATTATATGGATTAGTTAGGAATTAGTCCGGATGAACACAAAAAAAATAAAATTGATATTTTATAAAAACCGGATATATTTTTTTTAAATATAGATTTATATACACAAAAGTTTGATCTCTTGTAAAAAAAAATCAGCTCACTATGTAGAATGCTTCTTTATTTATAAGTCTATTTCCTCATTTTGTATTAGAGTGACGCATAGTGCGCCTTAGTGGTCAATTTGGTTAGCTTGCAGAGTTTCTAAAGCCATGGTTCAAATCCTACCACTTGCCTAATATTTATATATTTTTTTCAATTTTTTTAAATACAAAATAAAACATTTTTGAATTTCTATAGATATTATATGCATAATATGTATAAAGATATATACTATAACAAACTACAGGGAGAGAATTTTTAATAAAAGCTTAAAATTTCTGAAAACATCAAAACACTAGGAGAAATTTATGGTGCATATGTCATGATAGAGATACTTATATTATTAAATGTGCTCAGGCAATTAGTCCTAATAAGCTGTGAATGGTCTGAAAAAAATATATATATTTGTTGACAGGCATTTCAATAAAATCATCCACAGGAAGAGTTACTAGAATTATATCATTTTTTTTTTTTTTTGCTGATTAAATGTGATTTCTTTAATTCTATGTTTATCAGGCTTGGTCAGGAAGCGAGTGCGATTGCACTCGATAATTGACCACGGAAATAATATTTAGTTACAAAAAACCGGCCAGATTTTTTTGTCATTTTAAGAACATTTCATAAACAAACAAAAAAGTGCAATAAGATTAACTGGACCGATGAGAGACAGTTAAAAAAAAGAAAATTAATTTTTAAAGCAAAAAAACTTTAAGCAAAATAAATATGATTAGAGCAAATATTTTTGAAACGTTGCTCTTTTATAATTTTTTTTATAAAATTAAGTGACATTTTTTATATAAAGCCTCGGGACTTACAATGTTAGGGGCCGCGAAATAGTCAAGAGGACCATTCTGTATTTTTTTCAGTCATTTTTTATAAATAAAAAAGTTTTTTTTAATAACTGTTTTATGCTTCGCGATGTTTGAAAAGTTTAACGCATTTGAAACAATTTTTCTTAGTATACTAAGAAAAATTGTTTCAAATGTGTTAAATATTTTAAAAGATGAACAAATGAAATAATTAAATCATTGAGTTTTTGTAGAAATTCAATTAGCTAAATAGAAATTAACTAAAAACCTTAAATTACTATGTGAGGAGGAAGCGGAACTGCTTCACAATAACGCTGATGATGTTTAGTTAGTGGGCTTTATAATTTTAATTAGTATTTAAAACAGAAAAAATTAACTTTAAGTTTAAGTATAACGAGTTTGTAAGAATGGCTGAAGCAAAAATAATTAAAGTTAGTCAATTAAAAACATTTTTTTTTGTAAACAAATAATGTTAGTTTAAAACATTTATAGCTTTGTAGATGTGGCTCCGAAAATTAAAATAATAGTTTGTTTGATAGTATATTCTTAAAACAATTTATGCTAGAAATCTCAACGAAATCATAACAAAACTCAAATAATACAATTTTTAAAAATATTTCAACAGAATACTCTAAAAATTCTGGTTAGTATTTTTTGAACCAATAGAATTAGTTGTTCGTAGATTTGGCGGGTTTATTGTGTTTTTTTTATTTTTTCTCACAAAGATGTTTGAGAACATTCGAGTTTATGTATGTTTCCATGTATGTCCGCAAACAAAATATTTCTAAAATTACGATAAATTAATGAACTTAAGGAAACATACATAAATTTAAATGTTCTCAAAACGACTAAAATATCTGGCCGGTTTTTTGCAACTAAATATTATTTCCATGGTCAGTTATCGAGTGCGATCGCACCCGCTTTCCGACCAAGCCTGGTTTATCCAACAAAGTAGTAAGAAATGCATACTAAGAAATGCATCCTGAAGCATCTCCAACAGGAACACCACTTTGGTTTAACAGGGATGAACCCAGGAGCTGTTTTGATAACGCTGGAACAGCATGGGC